CCCCGCCCCCGCCCCCCGCCGCCTTGCTCGCCGCCTGTGTTTTTCGAAGCATGATGCTAATTTGCAGCTGCGACAGGTTTCCACAATGAGGCTTACTGGTTAGGCTGCAGCGAGGGAAACTCACTGTGCCCATTTGCTGAGAGGAGGAGAGAGACGCCTTGCCTTGGAGAGGGTCCGAAAGTTTGTGTGGGGGCGGGGGGGGGAGGAACACCACTGTGTTTGCTTGGAGTAGGAAGCACATTGCCACTTGGAACAGGACCGAGCTGGTGTGCAAGCAAAGATGTCTCAGCCGTCGCTATGTACAGACTCGCCTTGTTAATAGGGAAGGGTGGGCTTAAATGGGCAATTCTACGGCGAGGCCTGCGGCTTGAAGGCACGCCTTCCCTTCCATCTGGCAGGTCCTCGTGCTGCTGAATCGGTTGGTTTCCGAAAGAGAGTTGGCAACTTTCAAACCCGTCTCGGAAGCTGGCTTTTTTGATCACAGCATTTCTTGGCTGCGTAAACGTAACGAGCAATTCATGCCCTCCTTCCCTTGGTTGTGGCTGTGCCTTTGCGCTCCTTAAGCTGAACTCCAAGCACACCCCTTCGTGAATCAGTAGAGGAAGTCCCATCAGGACATAAGGCTGCATGTTCCTAAAGTTTTGGGAGCGTGTTGCTGCTGGATTTATTGCAGCGCTACGAGGAGGCTGTGGTGTTTTTTCTGGGGGGGAGAAAGAGGGGAGCAGCTACTCTTAAAAGATACTCTCTGCCACATGTGCAATTTAAGAGGCTAGTTTGTAAGAGACAGCGTGTCTCTCTTGAGAAATTGTAATGAGGAATGAACCTCTTCGTCTTAATGACAGACCTGGAAACTTGGAAAGTACTCTCACTGTAGCTTTTAACTATTGTGTTGAAGCTGAGGTGTCAGTGTCATCTTTTTGCGGTAGCCACTGACTTTCAGCTACTGAAGTTATTTCCAATGGAATCTTTACCTTTCTTTTTTTGAATTTAACGTGCTAGAATATTATTTATTTACTTACTGAATTTCTAGGCCGCCCAATTCCAGAATGACTCTGGGCAGCTTCACAAAATTAAAAAACAAAACCCAAAAAACCAGTGTTCTGTAAAAAAAAGACCACACTCATCTGGGAGAACAACATTAACTGACCACCCTCAACTGAAAGGGGCTCACCCAAGCACCCTAACCAAAGTCCTGGGGAGAAAAACAGGTTTTTAAGGATTGCTTGAAGGCGGGTGGGGGGTATGCATACCTGGGGACATGGATTAAGACTGAAATCTGACCTGATCTGAATCTAAAATAGATGCTTTTTTTGAGAGACGATTTTAATCTAATATTTTTGAGAGAGGCAGGAATGAAAAAGTATCTGGTTCCTTTGTCCTAGTTAGATAAATCATTCATTGTGGCTGCTTCCCACCTATATATAATACAAGGATAATAATATTGGCCTTCCCATAGCATTGTAAGAAATAACGACCAAGGTATGTAACAGTCTTGAATATTCTGATATTCACAATTATATTCATGTAAGAAGTCCCATGCTGCCCTCTTGCCAGTGATGCTCAAACTCTTAGCTTGCAATTTAGTTCTTTCAAGCTGTAGAGCAGTACCCTGAGCAACGTCCCTAGGAATGGAGGGACTTGTAAACTTGTAGGAGGACAGCAGCCAGGCTGGGCAGACTTCAGACTTCTGACTTATTGGATCTATATATTTTTATTGGAAGGCTCAGCTCCGTTAACTAAATCTAGGTCATAAGAGCTGCCCAGGTAGGTAGGCATAAACTCATAATTGAAGAACATGGTGCCTCTGAATGCCCACTCTATTCAGAACTCTATCTGGGTACAAAGCCCCTTGGATTCAGCAGGCAAGCAATGGTTTTGTCTGCCTTTTCTGCAACACGAGTAGCACAAAGGGATCTCCCCTAGAAGCACACAATGGCTACAAAATGCTCATTTTCATGCATTCAAAGAAAGAGTGTTGGATAGCTGGAGCTGCGTGGCAGGAGAAGGGAAGAGAATTCTATTCATTTTATTGGCCAAGTTGCCCCTGAAGCAACTTGTCCACACTGGCGTGTGAAGTGACCTTCCATTTGGAGATTGCTCTACAGAGATCATCCTGCATGAACTAAATGGTCATTTCAGTTGACCCGTTCAGTATTGCATCCTGTTCATGTCTTGTTGGTTCTTCATTTCTTCCTTCATTTTCCCCTGCCCTTATTGAGGCAAGACCTCCTTGACTTCTGAAGGAAGACTAAGTGATCTTCACGCACACAGGCCCACTTTTGTCTGCCTCTGGATTCCTGTATCCAGAAGGCTCGAACTACATGGGCCAGTGCCTCCCTCCACCTGTTTGCACCCTTCAAAATTTGTCCAGATCCCCTTAGCAGCAGAGAATCCATGTCAGGGGGTCCCTGGGCAAAAAGCCCTTTTCTGCAAAATTTAGACCAGAGGCATCCATTGCTCTGCGAACAGGATTCACATTCAACATTGCAGATATATCTCCTTAGATATAAGCCCTAGGAAGTTCTATAAGTCTTAGCCCTTGGTAGATATGCATGTATTGTTTGTTTAGTTGTGTGTATATATCCAACTGGGAATGGAGTATTTTATATATAGGATTGCAAACTTTTTGGTTTCAACATCCAGCCTTCAGAAAACATTTCATATATCCATGTACTAGGGTTAAATACAGCAGCAGTATCTTGATGCTTCCTTGTTTCAAATGTGCTGCCCTCAAAACTCTTTTTAGTCTGTAAAGAACTGATATGATTAAATGTAGGCTAAATGGGAACTCAGAACTTGAAGGCGCAGCCACAAGAGTTGTAGCTGGAAGTTTGTGAGCTCTTCTGCCTTGAATAATGCCTTCAGAGAGCTTATCTAAGGATGAGGATTTAGTCATCAGTCCTGTTTGATCATGTGATGGCCTTTGCTTGAAGATGTTCAGGACAGGAGCATGAGAATTGTCCCATTTCATCCTTCTGGGTGGGTTAGAAAGAAGGAAAGAGCAAAGCCACCGTTTTCTGGGGAGCTGAGCGGAGATGCAAGCCCAGATTCCCAGTTGTGACGAGAGTGCTTGCCGATTCTACGGCAGCATTTCTCAACCTTGGCAACTTCAAGCTGTGTGGGCTTCAACTCCCAGAATCCCCCAGCCAGCAGGGAATTCTGGGAGTTGAAGTCCACACAGCTTGAAGTTGCCAAGGTTGAGAAACACTGTTGTACAGGCTTAGATGACCCACTGAGTTATTGCTGGTCTTGGCATTCTAGGTAGTCGTACTGTGGGTTTGTGCCTCGCGGTCTGATTATTTAGAATCAGAAATGTGGACTCGTGACTCACCCAGTTGTGTAGGATTGGAGCCTTTTCTCTTGAGGTAGTGCTTGCTTTAAGAGCATCTTGCAGTTCTGTCAACACTCACCCAGCCGTGTGGGGTTGAGAAACTGAAGTTCGTTGCTCAGCTGGGTGAAATTGGGGTAGGGGGCAGGGGGGCTGTTTGCAGTGCTGTCTGGAATGTGGCTGTAGGAGTGGCTCTATCGAGCAGCACCTGGTACGGTGCAGTATGCGTGCATGCGTGCTCTATGGGCCTCGGCTGATCCGACAGGAGGATCCAGCCTACCAAGTAGTTGGAAGATCAAAGGTGGAGAAGTCCCCGGGCCGTTTAGCATTCTCCCCTTGCCCTTCTGCCCTTCAGACTTTGCTTTCAGACTTGGACGGAGCAGAGCGGCTGAAGTGGGCAAAATGGAGATGTTTCTCCCGGCTTGGCTTTGAACAATCTACACTTACATACTGTGCGCACCTTTCCCAGCCTTTAGGAAGGGGGCGGGCATAATTGCTTCTCTCTGCAGCAAGGCTGTCTCCGCCTCCCGTCCATTAGCCTCTGATTAGCTGTGGGGTTGTTGCTTTTCAGTTGGGACTCGGGCAGCCCTTAGACCAAGCCAGACCTGTGGCCAGCTGGCTCGGCATCCATCGCCTGTTCCTGCTCCCTCCAACCAAGGGGGCTCCCAGGAGCTCTAGGCGCCATCCCTCCCGTGCATTGGGAGGGTCCCGGTTTGAAGTCTAAATAGCGTTGCAGCAGCTTTGAAATAATTTCGAACGGGAGCTTTACCGAATCCTACCTGGAGGTGTAGTCACTCTTCCGTGAAGCAAGTGCCTCATCTCGCCTTGTTTTTATATATTTATTTGTTTGTTTGTTTGTTTGCCAGGTTGAAACCCCTCCTGTTTGTTCAGCAGGCACTATCCTTCTGCTGATGTTTGTAGGACACGCTTCCGCAGGATTAACTGAACCATGGTTTTCTCAATTAACCTCATTTGGGGTTTTGTACCACAGGCAGGCTGGGGTCCATACATCTGGCTCAGCTAAAATTGGTGGGCTAGGCTAGTTTGTGGTTCCGTGTGTCATGCAAAACTAGCTTCTGAGTCACACATAGGTGTTCTTTGACCTGCCTCTCTGGATCAGCCACTTGAATCCCTTTCATGCCTCCTGTTCCTGCCAGCCTCTTTTTTGCGAGCGTCTCGCGCCAAAGACGTAATTTGGATGATGGTCTTCCAGGTATTCTCAGTAGAACGGCTTTTTCCGCTTACTCTCTAGGCAAAAATGGGCAAGGAGAGTGCTGGGGAAAAGCCGTTCTACTGAGAGTGAGGCATGAGTTAGATTGAGCCCAGGCCGGGAGCTTCTGAAAAGAGAGAAATGGACATGGACAGCCAGCCTGTCCCCCCCACCGGTCCTTCTTAACCATCCCGTGTGTAACTCCTTAGTGAGGAACCCTGTATCTCAGCTGGTTTATTTTCTTTCTTTTGCAATAAGAGGACCTCTGCTTCAGCTGCTGTCTTCTGCATGCTGAAATGAATCCGGTTGAAATCCGTTGCACCTTGTTCCAAAGGGAGAGAGGCAAACCCAAGCTGAATCCCTGCAAAAGCGGCGGTGTGTTCAATTCGGGGAGGGGTGTTGACACTTGGAAAATAATCAAGGACCTGGTTCGCTCCCCCCACCCCCCTGGCAGCCAGGAAAAGCTTCTTAACCTCCTCTTTCCTAGGTCCAGAACACTGGAGCTCCTCAGCTTTCCTCTGTTTTTTGTGCGGACACCGTCCATGCCTTTCTTCCTGAAAGGATCAGATACACTGCGGCTCCGTGTGAGGAACATCTGGCTGCCCTGACCTCTTGCTCAACCACGTGACTGACCCAAGGGAAAGAGGAGGATCCATGCGCACACATGGCCACTTTTCCTTCCAGGCAGTGGGCATTCCCGGGAGGTAGCAAAGGGGACACGTCTCGTTTTGGGAACCTTTTCCTGGATAGCTCTCCCAGGATAGGGAGAAAAGCTTTGGGAAGCTTTTCCTAGATAGCTCTCCGTTGGGATAGCTTCTCGGTGGCCTTGGTCCAGGGCATCTCTGCAAATTCCTTTGTGGAAGACTCTGTGCTTGGCGCCTCCCGTTCCTGCTGCCCCGCTCCCCCAGGAAACACACCATAGGCTCCTTAGAAACATGCTCTTGTGATGCCCTAACCTTGTGCACCCATGTGTTCACACGGGTGTGCATGTGTGTTCTTCCCCCACCACGCTGCCCACCCCCTTTCAGATGTTTGGATTCTGCTCCGCTTGGGAGGGATTCCTGCTCCTGCTGTTTTGCTGCTGTCTGGGAGTGCTTCTGTCTGGCTCATTTCCCACATCTTCCCTGGGAGACAAGAAAGAAAAATGAACTCCGACAATGTCCGTTTTTGTGGATGTCCCGCTAACCCCGTCATGTCTTCAAGAAGCCTGGAGCTGCTGAGGTGGCCTCCCCTTTCTGCTTCTGGCCTCACTGGTTGGGGTCTGCCAGGGACCCTGCCTTGTTCTGCCCCCAGCTGTCCTCGGGGTTCTGCTGGGGCTGGCGCCGCGCTGCACTTCCTCCGCCCGTGGCACTCTTCCCCGATGCTGCTCCCCTCACCCCCAGCTTTCCCTTTCATACGGCCTTCCCTCCACTCCCCTTCCAACCCCGCTGGGGCCTTGAGAAAGGACCACGTCAAGCGTCAGAGGGAAGGTCTCACTTGGATCGCTCACCTTTCCCTATTTTATTTCTATTTTTTGAGGTTTTGCATTCTTGCATATATATCCTTTCTCCTGGGAATTGAAAGAGGACTCACCAGAGGGGGCTCGTTTTATCTTCACAAAAGATATTCCTGCAAGGTCAGTTGGGCTAAAAGAATAGCCAGCCCAAAGCTGTCAAGTGGGCCCCATCGCTCCCTGGATTTCCTCAGGTCTGGTGCTAGAGCCGTTCCAATGGTCTGGTTTTCTTTCATTGTTTTATTTACTATAATAATATACCTCACGTCTGCTCTGAACTAATCAAGGAAATGTGCGTGGTGCTCTCTTCGTCATTCCTTTTTATTTTTGCAGCATCCCTGTGAGGTAGACTAGAGCAAGCATTTTGAATGCAGCAAAATCATCCCATCCCATCCCCAGCCTCTGTCTCCCTAGCCCTGGCCTGACGTCTGTAAACCGCCTTTAGCATTCCCCAACCTGGTGCCCTCCAGACATGCTCTACTACAATGCCGGCCATTCTCAGCTAGGGAGAAGGAAGTCTGTGTAAAGCCATGGTGGGTCTCACTGGGTTTGAATTCCTTGAGAGTCTCAAAGCAGCGCTGACTGTTCATCTTGGGAGAGCTTGGCCCAAGGAACCTTAATCTCTTCCCAGAGCAGCTCCAGATTGCCAGTTGGGTTGACGGCTGGGATCTTACATGGCTATCCTGTGAGCCTCTTGGATGGCTTCTTCCTGAACGAGAGTTTCGCTTCAAGGATGTGTGGTCCAAACGCAGTTACAGATTTCCCAGGGCCTGTTTCAGCATCAGAGGATCTGGGATCCCTTCGGTGTTCAGCTGGACTATTTATATTTGTTCCCCGGCAGTTCTCTGTTTTGCTTCCAGCCTTCCCTGGAGGCGTAGCAGCATCTCATTGTAGCTGGAAGTGGTGCAAATGCCCTTTGCTTTTGGAACTGCCCTTCCAACACCAACAAACAAGGGGGAACAGCAGCTCTAGATTCTGAGCCTAACCGCGTGTGTTTATTTTGCTGTTGCAGGCGGAGCCCCTGACTGAACCTGACGTGCTTGGCGTGGAGCGGCTGTCATGATCTCTGCGGCACCTCTCTACAGTGGGGTGCATAACTGGACGGGTGCTGAACGGCTTCGTATGTGCGGCCTCAACGAAGAAAGGTGGTGGTGGTGGTGGCAGGGGGTTCTGCAAAGCATTTGTTCTCTTTGGTGATGAAACGAGGAGAGGAATGCGAGCCTCCCTCTCATTCTTAACGACATTGCCCCTTCCCTCCTTCCAGCTGAAGTAATCTGTGCAACTGAGATTCTGTACAGTCAAGTTGCTGGCAAAACGTTTGGGTTTTTTGGTGTGTTTGCTTTCTCAAGTCGAGGCTTTTAAAATCATTGTTCCCTTTGGTGCATGTGGGAGGCGTTAATGTTAACAGTGACTTTTTTCTGCCGAGATGCTTTTGGTCTGTCCCGTTTCTCTCCCCTTTTCCTTCTTCTCACAACAACCCTGTGAAGTAGGTGTAGCTTGAACAACCCCCTTGGTCCTCCCGTGAGCTGCTTGGTTGAGTCGGGATTTGAACTAAGTCTGTCCCCTCCTCATTTGGTGCTCTGCCCCATGAGAATCATTGTGGTTCAAAGTAATATTTAATCCAGGCTTTAAAATGCATGAGCACCTCTGCCTTTCGAATGTGTGTGCACGCCCACAAAATAGCATTTTTAAAATTGGATCGGAACATTTCAAAACCCAAGTGGCTGGTGTGAAGCCTGCAGTAGCGCCAGAGTTTGTGAGAGATGTTTTGCTGGTAACTTCTATACAGTATTTGTAACTGAGGCAAAGGAAGTCCTGTGTGTATTTAAAATATCACCTGGCATCTCTCCAGTGTGTGGCAAGGTTTTGAAGAATTTATTTCTTTATTTCATGATCCATAATACAAGCAACATAAGCTCTGGATGACTGAAATGGCTTTAAAGTGGTCTTCACCCCCACCCCCCCACCTGTAGCCATTCCCAATCTGGCACCCTTCAGTAGACCTGAGAAAGCTGTTTGACGCGCTGACTTAAGAACGGCTTTCTATCCTGGATTGCTTAAAGTAAGACAACACTATTCCTTCCCGACTCGTTCCCCTTTTAGCACAAGGGGGTTGAACGCTTGTGGCCCTTGCTCTGACTTTGGCCACCACTGTCCACAGATGTGCTGTGTCTGTCAGAGCAGTGGCTTCAGGTCCACAGCTTTGGATAATTGGATTTCTCTTTCTGTAGGAGAGCCCCGCTTTCTGATGAAGAATCTGACACCAGTAGTTCCCAGCACCTGGGCTCGCCTGAGTTCTGCAACAGCTTTTCCAAGGTGAGATGGATGGGTCAGGGGGAAGGAAGTAGGGTCAGACCAGGGAATAGCAGAAGTCTTGCACTTTGGCTCCTGCCGGCCTTAGTCGGAGCTGTGGAGAATTCTAAGTCAAAATCTCTGTAAGACCCTTGGGTGTTGCCTGATCTTAGCTGGGATCCTCAGGAGATCCTGTGGCCTTAGGATGGGATAAGGGATGGTTGTCCAGTCGTGCAGGGATTTGTTCTTTCATCTAGATGAGCTCGAACAGAAACAAAAGAATAACTTGTGAAATTGGCCCCTATGAATGAGATGGCAGCCATTGGGAGGTGGGATGACAGATCCAGAATGGAAGCCGGCCTGTCAATCTTTGTTACCCATTAATATGATAGCTCAGTAGCTATGGTTATTAGATGTTTTGTAGGCAAAAAGAGCCTTTTCATCTGTTCCAGACTTTTAAAAAACTGGGTAGCAGCTGATAGGAAAAACAAGATTTAGGAAACCCTTTGCTGGTCAAGAGCGTATGGTAGAGCGGGAGATGGCCAAGCTCTCATCCGGTTCATAGAACAGTTGTTATGAAATGGATCCTCCATGTCCAGAGGCAATCTGTCTTTGAAGGTGAATTTCTCTCCTCCCTCCAAATTTTCAACTTTCATTCATAAGTCAAGATTTTCCTCTTTAGTCAGGCATCTTGAATTAGGTGATAGTGAACCCTTTTTTTTTTTTAAAACAGAAGAGGAGAGCCATGTTACTCTATGCAACAAAACAGACATGGAGTCTGGCAGCATCTTCAAAAGATACTGAGATCATGAGCTGGTGCTCAGAAAACCTTACGTCCCAATAATGCTGGTTGGTCTTGAAGATGAAAGCTGATTCCATGTCTACTTTGTTTAAATGGAGCTTTTGTTATTTTATATTTGGTTTAACTTTTATTGTTGGGTCTTTGAGGACCCTAAGGGCAAGAAATTATTCATTGAAATAATAATAAATCTAACCCTGCTGGGGTTAAATGGGGACCTTGATCTGTAGCATAAACAGGAAAAGACGGACTCGGGCTGTTCTGACTTCAGCCTCCATCACAATCCCAGCTCTGCTCCCCCATCCTTCTGGGGCAGAAATCTTGGGGCTTGATCCCACGTGGTCTTGATTCTCTCTCATCTCTCACATTTGCAGGTGGAGATCACAGCGGTTTCGGGAAGTGGCGGAGGTGCCGAAGGGTTTGAGCCGGAGGGCACCGTGGAGGAAGAACTCGGCCCCCAACCCCAGGAGCAGCCTCACGAGCCAGATTGTGCTCAGCAGGCCTTGAAGGGTAGTGATGCCAACCCTGGCAAGCTTAAAGAGCCTGAACCCCCCAAGCCGGAAAGCAGCAGCCTGGACTGCGTGTGGCCGTCTGCTAAGGAGGCGACAGAGGGGACCCCACTTTGCCCAAAGGCTCTGGAGAGTGAACAGATGGGAAAAGAAAAGGGTCTCCCAGCGACTAGTGCCTCTGTAAACCCCATAACTGCTACCGGCAGCAGCAGCTGCAACACTTTGCCCCCTGCCCCCACCACCTACACCTTGAAGAGCGTCTGTTTCTCAACATCTCAGGCCCCTCCTATGCAAAAAATGTCCCTCTCCCTGCCGCCTGGAGCCGTCCTCGCCCCCAGCCAGCCGCTGGTTTACCTTCCTCCCCTTTCCAACACGCTCGGGGTCTCGCCCACGCTTGCCCTTCCAGTCTTATCTTCCTTCCAACAAGACCCCTGCCTGCCCAGCCTTCTGGCCCCCTCGGAGCTTCGCCCATATCCATATGCTTTCTCCGTAGCCAGACCGTTGGCTGCTGACCCCAAAGCAACCTGCGTAGAGGCCGCTCAGTTAAACTGCCCTCCATCTACCGGAGAAAACAGTAGCACCCCTGCGACGCCAGGCTCTGGCCCTCCTGCCAATGGCCCAGAACTTGCCTCCAGTGCCCCTGCCTTGGCAGCCTCCTGTGCCAGCGCCGTGCCCCTCTCAGGTCCTGCCAGCGTGCTGCCCCGCGGCCCCGAGCGGCTTGCTGCGGGGGTCCTGGCTTCCATCTCCCCGCTGAAATCCCCCCCGCAGCTGGAACGCGAGATGGTCTCCTCCCCAGAATGCAGTGAGATGCCTCTTGATCTGTCCGCCAAATCCAACCGCCAGAAGCTGCCGCCACCGAGCCAGCGCAAGACGCCTCCGATGCCCGTGCTGACCCCAGTGCATCCCAGCGGCAAAGCTCTGCTCACTCCAGTCTTCTCCAAGACCCAGCGAGTGGCTCAGGCAGCCGCCTCGCCCTTTGTCATCTTCCCGGAGCTGCTGCGGAATGGAGAACAAGGCACGTGGGTGAAGAACTCCACCACCTTCATTGGCACCATCCCAGGCACCTACATGGGGGTGGCCAATCCAGTGCCCGCATCTGTCTTGTTGAGCAAGGATTCTGGGGCCGACGTAAGCAGGGACTCCTGCCATCTTCCAAAGCAGGAGCCCATCTGCATCATTGATCAGGGAGAGCCCCGAAGCGGTGGGCTGCCTTCGGGGAAGAAAGGTGGGGCAGAGGGCCAAGCAGACCCCACGAGACGCGCCCCAGCTGCTCAGCTGCGCCCTTCCAAGGAGCTGTCCCTTTGGAATCCCAGCCAAGCAAACGTCTACTCCCGGTGTTCAGTCAACGGGAAGCCTGCAAGCCCTCAACTCCTGCCCATAGGATGGTCCCACTATCACCCAGGTGCCCTGCTTTCCATTGGCATCTCAGCCACGGCACAGCTGCCCCCCAATCAAGTCGGGCCCGCTAAGACCACTGGCCCTGGCGAACCAGCTGTGTTCCCTGCCGGGCAGCTGACAGAACCTACCCAGGCGGTCCAGAAACCACCTGAAGCCCCCTCCCAGGGCAAGGGTTGTAAGGCAGCCCTGCCCAGCACCGAGAGTCCTTTGTGTGTCTCACCAGCCCTCCAGACCAACCCACCTGAGGCAAAGGGCTCAAAGGGTCTTGAGCGACGAGAGACGGACTCGGCTGCCGAGAGCACGCTCCCCCCACCTGAAGCTCCCCTGGAGGGTTGTGGCCACAAGTACTCTGGAGACCCCAAAACTAAGAATCCATTCTTGACTGCACATCTCCCCCATGGCCTGCCCTTAGCAAGCCAGGCCAGCGTTCGGGTCACTGCTGAGTCGGCCTCTCCTGCAGAGCACCAGTGCAAAGAGCGGCGGGGAGACCCTTCCCGCAACCCGCTGAACGTAGAGGTCCCTCCCCGCCCGGTGCATCAGGTAGACCTCAGCCGGATCAAGAAGGAGCGAGTGGAGGCTGAACCCCCCTTCGCCTCTGCCACTTGCCTGCATGCTGGGGCCACCTTGAGGGACCCTCCAAAGCCCAAGCTTAAGGGGATGGCCCACATCAAAGTAGAGGGAGGCTTCCCGTGCAAATCCAAGCGGCACCACGATGGGCCAGATCGGCCAACCCATAAGAAGCTGAAGAGCCGCGGGGGCGAGGAGTTGGGGGCTTCTTGCAAGACTAGCAGCCAGAATCAGCACAGCCGCAAGGTGAGTGGCATGGCTGGGTAGAAGAGGAGAGCAGGGATTCTGGGCCAGGGAGTCAGAAGCAGCGGGGTTGGGGGCCTGCAGAATGGACTAGCCTAGTGTTTCTCAACCTTAGCAACTTTCAAAAGGGTGGACTTCAACTCCCAGAATTCTCTAGCCAACATGGCTGGCTGGGGAATTCTGGGAGTTGAAGTCCACGCATCTTCAAGTCGCCAAGGTTGAGAAACATTGGGTTGGAACATTCCTTGATTTTAACCTCCTGTTCCATCGTGCAGTTCTCTCTAATGAATTTGAGCTGAAGTCCCCATCGCCCCGAGGCAGCATGAAAAGCTAAGCATGACTGTAGGGCTATGCGGGAGGGCACTGCTGCATTGTGCTAGGTATTTTGTTTTTGTTTTGTACAAAATGGGAACACAGTCGAAGAACACACAGGGTGCAGAGGCAACCAATCCCATTTAAAGAGGCAGAGCGAGAGGTTTCCCCACACTAACAGCAGGCCGGTCTCTTCTGTCGTGTCCACAGTGGAGGAAGCATCACAGTGACCTCCATGAGATCAAGCACGAAGGCCGGCTGGGCTGCATGAAGGAGAGGGGCAGCCTCCGTGCCAAGCGCAAGCGCCGGAAGCTGTCGCCAGGCCACCGAGGGCACGGCTGCGAGGAAGGTATGGGATCTCAAACGCGGTGGGGGTGACCGTTCCCTCCCTCATCCCGCAGTCACAGAAGCCTCTTGGAAGATCTAGTCGGCTTCTTCAGGAAATTGCCACAGGGATCTCTTTGGGTGCCCGAAGCCCTTCCTTATGATCTCGGATGGGGCAAAGGGCCATCAAGCTTTCTGGGGCCAGAAATGAAGACTCTTTCCATGGCTGTTTCTGAGACCTCTTGCCCTTTTATTCCTTCAGCTTATGTGGAGAAGAAGGCCAAGAACAATTTCCGAGACTTCATCCCCGTCGTGCTAAGCAGCCGGACGCGCAGCCAGTCAGGTTGGTGGCTGATCCAGGCCACGACTGGGATGAGGGGCAGGGGAGCTTGGTGATCTTTGAGGAGGGGAAGAAGGGCGGGATTATGACCAAGTGACCCTGTCTTGGGGTTGCTTGCATGCCAGCTTTGTAGTAGTGCCTCATTTGGCTCCTTGGCAATGCTGCCAAACGAAACGGCAATATCAGGGCTTAACGTTGCACTGAACCATGGTTTGCTTAAGCGTAGTTTGCTGAAGAAGCTACAGTTGTCTGAATTCACTCCTTGGGCAAGCCACAAACCACAGTGGTTGTGTTCATACTTTACAAACCACAGTGGTTGTGTTCCCACAACACACTAAGCCCGAACCAAGCAAACCTCATTAACGGCTTAGGATGATGTGTGAGCCGGGGACGTAACTTGATCTGAGGATCTTTCGTGCAGGTTTTTGAATTGTACAGGTTCCTTCCACAGAACAGTAAGCAGTCTTTTTTCTAACTTTTTAGCAAATTTGTGCATTTGGGAAGGAGGATGAGTTAGCAAAATAAAGCCATCCCCAAGCGGAGCAGCAACGGAGCTCAGCTCCTTGGGCTTCTTGTCTGATGGGGTCTCTCCTTTCTTTTCCCCCTGCAGGGAGCATGGGGGGGTCTTCCACTAGCATGCTCGGGGAGTGCGACGGAGCCGGGCAGGAGATGGTGCCGCTGCTGGAGGAGGCGAACGAGGATGACAAGCAGCTTTCCCTGAAGCATCACCGGCTACGGAAGTCCCACCGCCTCTCCCCTCACTCCAGCTGCAAGGACCAAGAGCGGGGCCGGTCCCGGTCGGAAAGAGGCGTCTTCCACCCGAGTAAGAATCAGCGACTGCTGTGGCAGGGGGAAGCCAGCAGGCAGCTGTGGAGCCGCAAGGAGGCAGAGGAGGAGAGCAGCCACGTCAAGAGGAAGAAAAGGAGGCGGCAGAAAAGTTGGAAGTACCAGACAGGAGAATATCTGATTGAAAGGGACAAAGGAGAACACCTGAGCTGCTGTCACAAGAGGCGGAAATCAAAAACAGGTAACAGGGACACCCTTCCGGGGTGGGCCTCGGGGAGGGATCTCGAGGCAGCTGCTCTCCCCCGCTGATCCGTGCGGCTCCCATTGTCCCCGGTCTCCCAGCTGGTGGTCACGCTGGCCAGTCGGAATAAGAGCATCGAGCAAGGGGCAGCCAGCAGCACGTTGCTTGCCGCCCACACGGGAAGCACAAGCAGCAGCACCGGGTGAGATCCTCTTTGCCAGCTCGAGAACAAAACTGTCAGTTTCCTGTATTGGCAAAGCTGGGCCGGAGATTGCAAAGCGCCCTCGGGCCTGAGGTGCCCCCAGCTCCCTTTGCAGAACCTCTCTGGAGGTTGAGCTGCCTAAACAACAACCGAGGACTGACTGTAGCCCCCTCTTCCCTCCCCCCTCCCCCCATTTGAGTATTTCATCCTGTCTCAACCTCCTTCCTGGAATTGAAAAGCAGCGCTTTTAAAAAGTTGAAAAAGAGTAGCCGTTTCTCTCTCCCTTGTGGCGTCCCTATTATTCTTTTTCTTTTCAACCGTAAGGATGCTGGGCGGGCGGGAGAGGGTGGCTTTTACAGATTGGCTCAGGGCAGCCCACGTTGGGCTTCCGCAGAAACGGCCCGGCTCCGCGGTGCCGGGCCCGGTTCAGGGTGACCGAAAAGGGAAGCCCGTAGCGGTGCGGAATGGGCCGCAGCCTCCTGGTTGCAGCGACCGCCAGGGGGCAGGCTTCTCCCGCACGAGCTCCGCAAGAACCGCAGGCAGAGAAGGCTGCAGCGGGAGACTGAGAGCCCGGGAAGCGCTGCGGACACGAGGGCGGGGGGGTAATGAGGACGCAGGATGCCTTACGCGGGAACACCTAAGGAGTTGGAGAACGGGCGGGAAGAAGGGCCGCTGCTTCTCAAGAGCCCCGGAGGAACTTCTGGGTTGTGGCTTCTCCTCCTCCCTGGTTTTTAAGTAAATCTTTTCTTTTTCTTTTTTTTTTTGGATAGGGGGAGCCTTTAGTAGAAGGCAGCAGTTCCTCTTTCCCAGAATCCTTTGCTTCTGGGCCTTTACTTGAAGGGCGCATCGCTGTTTTCCCAGAATCCTTTGCTTTTGAATCACACTGACTTTCCTCTCCTGTTTCCCTGGTAGTCGGCGAACGCGAACATAGAACTGGGCCCGAGTAACCAAGAGGGGTGGCAGGAGATGGTCAGTACAAGCAGAGCTAGAGGATACAACTAGAAAAGAGCGAGCCGAAGCCACCAAGAAGAAAAGAGACAGCTTTTTTATTCTGAAATGTTTTAGCTGGGCAGGCTCTCTTCCACTGTGGTCCTATACTCAGTACATCTCCCCAAGCCCATAAGTAAAGAGTTTGGATCAGGTTGAAAGCTGGTTGCAAGGGACTATAACACGAAAATGGTAGAACATGTTGCCAAAGGCATAGGAGAACAGCTCATTATAGTAGGAAAAGGCTAGGAGAGCACGTGGAAGTGCTGAGCCCGGGAATATGGTACTCCCCATCAGCTTCATCACAGCACACCGTCGGTGTTCCGAAGATTGGGACTTCTTCCACACCCAGAGTGGGCGGCCATGCAGGTCAACTGCTGAACCCAAGGAGCAAGTTTTCAGAAAAGGCAGACTGGTCTTAGGTCCTTTCTGCTCCCTTCTTTTTCTTGACTCCCCTCCTTATGGGAGAACTTTTGGAGGGCCTCCTCCCTGTTTCTCAGAATCTTTTATTTGGGGGTTCTTTGGATTCTTCTAATCTTTCTCTCCCTGTGATTTCCCTGTAGACTTCAGGTACAGGAAGCACAAAAGCTCAGCCCTGGGCAAAGGCTCTCCAACCCTCCAAAGCCACCTGGGCTTTCAGAATGGATTCCTCCTGGATCACTCCGATGTTGCTCCAATCCAAGAAGGGCTGGAGAAACCTTCCGGGAAACGCAAATGCAAAACCAAACACCTGTCAGGCATCTGCGAAGAGGGGAAGGTAGGGAGAGGTGCTGGAAATGTGATAGTCAGAGCGACAACATTGGCAATTCAGGCAGATCGCTGTCATTTGATGACTACATTTATTCATTTACTATATTTCTATATGGCCATCCTCCCAAAGAACTCAGGTTAGTTTACACTATAAATATAGAACAGAACCATTCCAAAAGAAAGCAAGAGAGAAGAAATGATAACATTTAAATAGCAATTAAATATATTACTAAAATTATTATTTGCATGTAGAAAGTGGTTCTCTGAAACGTAATGACTGCTTAGCAAGGCACTGCAAGGAGGACAAACAGAATCGAGTGCAAATATTGGCATAAGTTTATTTCAGGTTCCTAATTTATTCTGCATGTAATATCTAGAAGGGCTTTTTGTGCAGCATCCTGCCTTTTTTCCTCAGTGAAAATAAGTGGTTTTTTCCTTCCCCTCCCCGACCTTGACCAAATTCCCCGTCTTCACGTGCGCAGGCCAAGTCCCGCTCTCCAAAGAAATCCCGGGAGCCCAGCCCATTTGGCAAATCTCGGCAGCACAGCTTGGAGAGGGCCCCCGAGACCCCCGCAAGTCCACCCGTGCCACCCGAAGCTCGACGTCTGATTGTGAACAAAAACGCTGGAGAAACATTGCTGCAGAGGGCGGCCCGGCTCGGGTATAAGGTGGGTGCTGTTTCGGGAGTAAGTGCTACAGGGAGGTGAAGGCAAAGAGTGAGGAGGGACTGTTACAAACCATGGTCTTCCTTTTCCAGGACGTGGTAATGTATTGCCTGCAGAAAGCGAACAATGATGTCAACCACCGGGACAATGCTGGGTACACAGCTCTGCATGAGGCCTGTGCTCGGGGCTGGGTAGACATCCTGCAGACGTTGCTGGAACACGGTGCAAATGTGAACTGCAGTGCACAAGATGGCACCAGGCAAGTTGGGGCCTGAATGGGGAAGCAGGGGCTATGGGGCCATTGGGGGGTGGCATTCATTGGATGGAGCCTGGATGGTTCCAACTTTGGAATCTCTGGCGTTCTCCCTATTTAAGGGAGAGCTGCTTTTGCATAGCATATTCATCCTGGATAGTTGGGAGTGTAGTTAGCGTGAACCCAGACCGCTGGGTGAATTTGGTAAACTCAGATGAAAATTACTCAAGGTAGTGTATTGTACTGACCCAGCTATTGAGAATCCATGTGGTGTAACGATTGAGGGATCAGACCTAGGATTGAGAAGATGCAAGTTCAAATCCCCACTTGGCCATGAAGATTACTGGAAGGCCTTGTTGTTGCAAGGATATATATGCTGCTTTGAATTCTTTCAAGGAGGTGCAGGCAATAGATGGAACAGAATAAATCAGCTTCAGAATTGTTTCATTCCAAGTGTGTGAATGGTTTCTGCTGAACTAGACCACCTTAGACTTGAGCTGGGAGAAACATTTGTTGAATTTTTTTCTTTCCCTTAAAACAAAAATATTTCAATTTGTGCTTATGAGTGGTACAGTCATGGTTCTTCTGACTCTGGAGATGATAAACAAGTCTTTCTCAGTGAACCTCAGATCAGGCCATGATCCACGCATGCTGCCGCCTCACATGTGGAAAGATAGCGGCTCCTGTAACTCTTCTTCCAGAGTTGCCGTTGCTCTCCCCGCCCTAATGGACAGGCACAGCTGCTTGAATTCTTTCCACAGAGATTTCTGAGCCCTGTGTTGGTAATCTGCACGAGACACGCACTTTTTTCCCAAGCCTGATTCAGGAACATTCCTGCAGCGCACAAGATTAATAATTCAGCAATTGCTCAGTTACCAAGGACAGAATCCTTGTGTCCCTTTTCTCCAGGTAGAGCAGTGTTTAAAATCTGAGAAAGTAGTTTTGCAGAAGGAGAATGAAAACCAAGAATATTCAGAACACTCACTTCTTTGGCTGCCTAAATGTAAGCTGGAGGGATCCTAGGAACTGGTGATACTCTGACATTTGGGCTACAGCAAAAATAGGAGGTCTGCACCATGTTTGGTCTGTCCTAGAGGGTGGGCGCAATGAAATTTATTTGAAGGTCTTCCCTTGCCGGCAGGCCTGTCCATGATGCAGTGGCAAATGACAACCTGAAGATTTTGTGGCTCCTCCTCTCCTATGGTGCTGACCCGACCTTGGCAACGTATTCGGGGCAGACGGCCTTGAAGCTGGCCAGCAGTGAGGTGATGAAAAACTTCCTGACCGGTAAGTTGTTTCCTCCTGAAAGCAAAGCAGTAGTTTTGTCAGCTATTTACTTATCCACCGTCCGTCCATCCATCCGTCCATCCATCCTCCACAGGGTTGGAGAATGGATGCAGAGACTATCTTCACATGCAACATCTATTTCCATTTTGTGGGGAGGGTTACTGATTTCTAGGAGATGAACAGATGAACTCTCCTGTTGTTGAATTGGCTAGGAAATGTTGCTTTTTCCCTATCAGAGGAAGGCCTGAGGTGGGTTTGAAATGGCAAAGTGTACATGTTGGGATTTGCAGGAAAGCTCCCTGAGCAAGAAACGTGAAATCCAGCAAGAAACTGACTTGCAAAATCATTCTGGAGTTACCATTCCAGTGTGGCCTTTAAAAGGGCAGGCATTGTGGGACTTTCTCCAAAGGCCCTCAGATTAAGAGGATCCACATCAGCTTGCTTCTTCCTGTGTTGCTTGTCTTGTAGATTACCTCTTGGATCTGCAGGGGCGAGCTGAAGGGGACCCCCAAACTGCCTGGGATTTTTACAGCAGCTCTGTTCTAGGTGAGTAGAACCCACCTCCTGCCTGTTTCACCCCATGGCCAACACAAGGAGTAATGGGATGTATCGATTTCCTCCCACCCCTGAGTGAGAGGAGATGGAGGTTGGGTTGAGGTTTTTTTTAACCAAAAAAGAAAAAAAGATGGGGTTCTCCCTCTTCCTTTCCATGGCTTCCTAACTGATGAGCCTCTTGAGTAGAAAATACTTATTTGGTCAGCCACACCAGGAAGAGGAGAGCCTTGAAAGCTGTACTTGGATCACAGTCTTCAAAAGACAGGAATGGTCTTCGCTGTCCTTTGATGAACGTGTGTGGTTTGGTTTGGGTGAACCAAAGTTTCCTGGTTCGGAACATGCCCGGCTCATGAGTACAACTTTCTCCGCAGCCTCTGTTTTTTTTTTGCTAAGTCTGCCTCTCTTGCATGCAGGAGAGTGGAATTCAGTGTCCTGCAGAAACACAAGTGGTGCACCTGTGCATGATTCCTTTGCCTGATTCTTCAGCTTGTTGAGGGTGTTTTTTTTTTTTTACAGATTTTGTTGCTGGTTTTGCTAGTGGGATAAAAGACTAAGATACTCCTTAACTTTTCCACCACCACCACAGAAAAAAAAAGGGGGGGGGGACATTGCTTGTCCATCCTGCAGCCAGAAGAATTAGGGAATGAGTTGCTTTTCTTTTAAGCCAGCTACAAAGAAATGTGAACCTGTAATTTGGGGCCCTTGCATCCTCCGTTCAGCCAGGGCTCTTGCAGACATTGCAGTATGCTTCAGTCTTCTCCACGGTGGAGCTTCTGCTACAGCCACTCATGAGTTGTAACGGGCAACGCCTGGCTGGGCACAGAAAGGCACACAGACCATGGCCATCTGCACATGACTGTTGGGACCGGCAGCATTTTCCTTCTTTCATCTTCCCTCCCTGTCCACATCTATTTCAGAGGGGAAAGAAGAGATCGGCTGCGACCTTCTACTTGACCCCCCCGGGGGCTCAGATCGGGATGATGAGGAACGGGACACAGACCACTTAATGTTTGAGTTCTCAGACAAGCCGCTGCTCCCCTGCTACAACCTGCAAGTTTCTGTCTCCCGGGGGTAAGTCTTGGGGGAACCCCTTCTTGGCAGAGCTGGGGAAGAATGTAGAGACACACGCTCTGCTAGTTTGAAGGCGGAGCCACGTCTAGGAGTCCCAGCAAGGATAAGAGGAGAATCGGAAACAAAGGAGCCAGGAGCAGTTGAGAGCATCTTCGGGGAGCGTCGCATACGCGAGCTGCATCTCTCTCCCCCTCCCTGATTCCTGGCCTTGGACAGGGGTGGTGGAGGCTTGCCAGCTGCTGGAGGGGAAGGGCATCCAGGCAGCCGGCTGCGGCAAATGACAAGCTGGCAAAAAACTGACACAAAAGAGTAGAATTTACTGAGGGGTTAGTGTGGGAGGCCCATTCCACCCATCGAGGGAAAGCGGTACAGCGGTTTCCAAAGGCCTTTGGCAGGGCTCAGGGACTGTGAGTCTGCAGCCAGTTCCAAACACTGGGCCATATGGCCTTGCCCACAGCCTACACATGCATTTTGCGCCTGTTCATTAGTTGTGCCCACCAGATACGTTCATCTCCAGAATCGCCCAACCGGCATCTCAGAGCACCCAGTTGAGAAAACTAAGTGAAGCAAAAGCTGGGGAGAGGTGGCCTCACCTCACCAACGAGCACAGCTTTGAAGATACCAGTGTAGGTATCTTATCAAGGAGAGCTTGGCAACTGGGTGATGAAGGAATAAAAGCAGCAACCTGATTCTCCAAGCATTTGCTGTATGCAAGTGCAGATTCAGAGATGGGAGACGGAGGGGGGCTGAGGGATGTGAATGGGCAGGGACCGAAGTCCCACAGTTCTCCGAGGAAAGGATTTGCAGGGGGCGCTTTTCTTTTCCCTCTGAATGCGGATCTGAATTGCAGGTGAAGGAACTCCTGATGAGGTCAGAGGATCAAACATTTTGCTTTTCAGAAATGCTTGGAAACGTTCTGGAACAAAATGGCAGAAGGCGATCGCAGAGCAGACTTCCAGGCTCCCCCTGACCGCTGTGTCCCTTTCTCTCGTTGCTAGGCCCTGCAACTGGTTTCTCTTCTCGGATGTCCTGAAGCGTCTGAAACTCTCCTCTCGCATTTTCCAAGCTCGCTTCCCGCACTTTGAGGTGACGACTCTGCCCAAAGTAGAGTTCCAGCACCAGATCTCGCTGAGCCAGGTCCTGGCTCCAGAAGAAATCCAGGAATACGTGTCCCCCCCTGCAGCTCCAGGTGCCGTAGAGACGGTAGAGCTGGTCCGCTACCAACCGGAGCTGGTCCGGCTGCTGGGCTCAGAAGTGGCATTTGAAGCCTGGAGCAGCTGACGGGGGCCGGCCAGCCGGAGAACCCCCTCCACCGTCAGACTGCACTGCGAGGCAATAATGGACCAATGAGGCGGCCTTCTTGAGGCCAAAGGGGGGGCACTGCCCACAGCCCTTCTACTGACTTGCAGCAGCTGGTTGCTCTCCTCCCGTTGGGGGGGAGGGCCAGAAGCTGCCTCCTCCCTCGCCCTGGACCTGAAGCTCGCTGCCCCCCCTTCCTGCAGGCCTTGGTGGTTTTGAAGTGGAACGCATCTTCTCCCCGCCCCCACTAAACCCTGCCCCAAGTTCTTCCAGGGTATTTATTTAATTAGTATTTAATTTGTGGTGTTCCTTTGAGGGGGGTGGGGATTTCTGCTAGGTCTGTATCACTGTGATTCTTGGGAAGAGTTGCAGGGCGGGGGAGGGGTCTTCCTGTAGCCACCCCATCCCTGCTGACCAGACTGCTGCTTCCTCTCACCTGGTTTTCATGAAATGTGAGGGGAGGATGGAGTGCCCTGTATCTCTCCCCCTTTCGTTTTGAGGGACATCCCGTTTCTGTTGGGGGTGATTCCCTCTTTGGCTCCCCCCTTCCCTTTTCCAGAAGATCGTCTTGTCTCTGATGTTTGGCCTGCTGTTTGGAGAGACGGACAGGAGACCGAATCGGTATGGAGCCAAAGGCATTTCAGTATTCTTGGCTAACTTTTCTCCTAGCCTCCTCCCCGCTTTTTAAAAAACCTCCCTTTGTTCAATCAGTTCAGGTGGCAAGGCCATCTTCAGTGAGGCAGTGGGGGGCAGGCAGTGGAAACACATCCCAGCTTGGGGCAGGAAAGGGGCGGGGGGCATAGATGGTACAGTTTTAATGTACAGGTGCTAACCAAGGACTGGACAATCCATTTACTGGCTCTCCCCTGTAACAGGATGGGGTGTTTGGGTGCTTTTTCATTCTTTTGTGTTGTGGTTCCCCCACCCCACCCCACCCCGCCTTCCCAGTTGGGGAGCTGCATTTCCTTCTGCTTCTCTTTCCCCTCTTTCCAAGGAGGCTGCCTCTTCAAGCCCCCTCCCCAATAAGCAAAACCTTTCTGTTTTTTTCCCTCTTCTCATGTCAAGGCATCGGCCTTTGGGTGTTTATTCTGGCTGCTGGTTCCACCCTTTCTCTGATTTGTTTTATTCTTAAACAATGCTTTGGTGTCAAAAACACTTATGTACAGAAAAACCTGCATCAGGGCCCCTGTCTCCCGTGTCATTCTTGGGTTGGGTGTGTGGTCTTGCCAGAAAGTTTGGTGTGAGAGAGTGGCACCATGGCTTCTCTTTGAGGGGGAAAGGACTCTGCCCAGCTGCACAGTGAGTCAGAAGGCAGAGGATGGGCTGGGGTTACCCTGGTGAAGAGCAGCCTTCTGTAGCTATATCCCGGCTACAAAAAGAGCATTGGGGAAAAGCATTCTTCTTTTCTTGATCAAACTCCAGCCTCCTTTTTCTACAAGCTGGTGTCAGGCCCATAGTGGGTGGTGGGAATGGGCAGGTATGTCCAAGGAATTGTGTTGAATTTTGCAGGACAAATAGAGAAGTGTGGAAGAGAAATATGTTGAAGGTAACAGGAGAAGAGTTGGACAAGGGAATGGGACTAATCCATGCTTTCAACTTTCTTTTTCTTACAAAGGCAGTTTATGCTTCTCCTAGTTGGTGCCTTCTAGACTGCTTGAACTCTGCCATTCCCACCAGCCTAATCAAAGCAGATGGGAGCTGTAGTAAAAACAATTGGAAGCTCCTGTTCAGAGCAGCCTCTAACTCTTTCTTGTTTCCTGCCTGTTCTTTAAAAGTGTCTATTCCACAAAGGTGGCCAAGTTGGAAGTCAGAGCACCCCAGTGGGAATTCAGCAGCCCCTGGCTGACCATCTCTACCTCTCCTTTAAACGATGCCAGAGCAGCCTCAGCTGCAGATGTGCAATTTTTAAGCGACCCTGCTGCATTGGTTTCTAAGCATCCAAACATGCTAGTCAATTGAATTGCAGCATCCTGGCGATTTTTAAAATATAAATATTAAGGGACTGCTCCAGAAGGAGCCTCAGTCAGATGGAGAATTTCACTCCACTAAAATATTAGCCCTCTTTGGTCTTAAGAGATTTGAAAAATGGGTTTCTATCCCAGTTGGCCTACTGCAAATGGGGATGTATCCAGCAGGAAGCCACAAAGGTTGCTTCAGCCTGGCTTGTTCCCGCAGCATATCAGAGGGTTTCTCTAGTGCTCAAGCCATCCCTGGCAAGGCGCCATTGTGACTATGAATGTACATTGACCTACAGAAATAGTTCTCCCTGTGCATCTCATCAATAACACGAATATCCTAAGACATGTTCCTTGTAAATGGGGGCAGCCTTGGTCAGTTGGTGATCCTTGGGCCTACTAGGCAGTTTTTCCTGCTGCTCCTTAATACCAAACCCTATCTTGACTGAAGATGATGAATTTGAGTGTCTCAGTAGTACTGGAGAATTGTCCAAAATAAAATTCCTAGTTGGTATCTCTTACCTGCTACGTCTGTCCTAAAGGTCCAGTAGCAGGAAAGATCATATGCATGTGTTTTGAAACTCAAACTGCTAGCTGTAACCTCTGTACTACTAATGCCCAATCAAGAGCAGAGAAGATGTAACCCAAGTCAGCTGGATCCTCATAATAGCAAAGTTAATCTGATTTAATTCATGGTGCAAAAAGGGCTGGGAGCCAAATATTCACATATGCCCAGAGTGGGAGGAAGACACACAAGCTGAAGAGTACATACAGACTCTCCCCCTCTCTGTCCCTCCACTTTCAAAATGCAATCCAGTGCCCCACTGGATGCTCATTCTTCATGGATGTTGAAAAGCTTGGCAACTTCATTCAGGTCAGCGTGTTCTTCCCCATCCTTGATGATCTACAAGAGAAAGAAACCATTTTCAGTAAACGCTTTCAAGGCAGGCTTCTCTCTCCGTTGGGTCTGTTATTGCCTCACTCAGCTAAAACCCAGTTTAAAGCTGGACAATCTCTGGCTACTCAGCTGCTTCCTTTATCCATGAAGGGCAAGAAATGAGAGCAGAAATACACCCATCCTTTCATGGGTGAAATCTCACCCATCCTTCATACTCTGCATTTTAGAACAATTTTATCCTTGCCTACTTCTCAAAATGACCCTACCTGGCAATTCTTAGCTACTGATGAATAGTGGAGTAAGGGCAGAGGGAGGGTGAAGATGGCCGAAAGAAGAGTTAACCGAATCCATAGCTATAAAGTCAAAGATGCATGGAAGTTCTGAGGTGGAAGAGGAGGAATTGCTCACCTGGTGGAGCACTGTTCAGATTTTTATTATAAGTCACTCCCTTGAACAGTTGATCTGTAACCGCACCCAACACCTGTATTTCCCAATGACAGCCTATCACAGCCTTTGAGGTTCAGCAAATACTCCCTTCTCCCACCATCATCATCATCATCTCTTTATATGCTGAAGCTGATTTCCAACGCATTGGCCCATGTCACTGTGTCTCCCAGCTGTATTTCCTAAATGTCTCCTTAGCCTATCACTATGGTCCTTTCAGGTGAGAAAGGCAATGATAGGAAATGGAGGTTTTGCCCAACCTAATCACCTCCATCCTGAGAACTAGATGCACACATATACCCATGTAAAGATAATTCTAGATAATTCTAAATAAGAGTTAAGTCACACCCATCAATGCCCCTATTCCTCGAACACAGTTGATTCTGTACATGAACCCAACCCCCCTCCCAGAGCAGAGTCACACAAGCTGACCTTCCGAGCAATTGGCATCCGGTTGAAGATGTTCCACAGGACAATTCCTACTACCACTTTATCCCTAAGGTAGAAAATTACTCCTTTCCCATAATCCTCTCCCTGCTGTGGAGCTTGCAGAGTAGAAAGGGAGGCTGCTGAAACCTTGAGTTCTGATGCTTCCATTTCAGTTTCACTCTCTGAGCGGATTCCCGTTCCTAGATACACACAATCAGACACAAACTGGATCAAAATTTTGCCCAAAAGATGTTGGGCCCTTTCCATTTCACATCACACCAGGGAGACCCCATACTTTCAAAAGAAAGATGCTTTCACTTCCACTGGGTAGAAATGAATAGCTTGATCAGCCCTAGAGATGCCGAGGCTAACTACTCACAGAGTACTGTGCTCTAAACCTTGGTTAACAAAATTACACTGACACACTGGAGCATATCCAGAGGATAGCACTGATGATCTTAAGGGCCTTGGCAGGAAAATCTGTTGGAAACGATTGAAGTTGGGTGTATTCAGTCTGGAGATAAGACCAGGACGGTAGCAATGTTCAAGCACAGGAAGGCAAAATAAGCCATTCAGCAAAAATTGTTCACAGTTGCTTTAGAAGACAGGACCCCCAAAAAAGGGGGGGGGGAG